CTTCGTTCTCATTCTACTACTCCCGCTACTCCTATACCATCACAACTGACTAAAAGTAAATCTAAAAAGAAAGTAAAATTTGCCACTTGATTTCTGTATTTTGGAAAGGCTTTTATTTCTTCTTTTTTTAGGTTTATGGATGATTCTTGGACAATTATTCATGGTAGGTTTATTTGTGTGGGTGTTAATGGTGACGTTATTAAACTACATTAACATCCCTTTTTTTATTTTTAGATTCCCAGATAAATTTAAACAACATTCTTCATGGTAGATCCTTTGCATGGTGTTTAATGGTGTATTGTTTAATAATATTAATGCCTTTTTTTATTTTTTTTAGATTTTTGGATGGTGTCAATAAATTTTTTGGATAATTATGTGATGGTTTTAATGGTAGTACTAACCCCATTATTTACTTTGTTTTCTAGGATTTTATTATGGTACGTAGGTTTTTTATTAAATTGGGTGATAATGGTGCTATTAAACAAAACTAATAATGCCTTCTTATTTTTGTAGCGTTTTTTGGATAGGAAACGCAAATGACATTAGACGCGATGAGATATCAAAGACATCTGAGACGTATTAGAAGTTTTTTGTTGGAATCGAACCAACTGGAAAAATGTTCCAAACCATTAACAACATTTATATTTTAGAAAGATAAAATATTAATGTAATACATATAATAAATATCTAGTTTTAAGCAAATAAAATAAATAAATGATGTTTATTAATAAATAATAATATACAATACACATAAAAATCAGTAAAATATCGGGATATATCAGGATATATTATCAATGAAACATTGTATTTTGATAATATACGGCAATAATTGAAAGTGCGAAAATTATTAGTACTCCATAAGTATTGCTCCGATTACTATGAAAATTTACGTGCAGGTAGATTCGACATCGTCGAACAACATTACTTAAACTTGAAAAGGCGATTACATTTGACTAAAATGCATTCCGAGCGTACCGACGTTAGTAAAAAAATAAAAAAATAAAAAAATAAAGTAATATTATTGTGAAAAATACAATTTTTTTTATGAGTATGATGTCTAATTTTATGAGAATTAGATGTAATAAGTTCAATAATGTATTTGAAAACAAATTATCAGTTTAAAAATTTATTTTATAAAAATTTTTGAACGTGTGAAATTTAATTTTATTTTTTATATATAAAAAATTACTCCTGTTACGCAAATCTATATATGACTATTCATTTCTAATTTATTTGCTACGCAAATACAAATATGACGTTATGGAAATTTTACCCCTAAATACACAAAATTCTATATGACTTAATAAAAAATTTTATATGATGAATAAGCAAATTTTTTTGTTACCGTTCATTCCAAAAGGATGGGAATAGAAAAATTATTATTAATACAACTGAGTTTTTTTGTAAAAAAAGTGATTAAAATTTCATTAACTGGAAAAATTATATTAGCAATAAAGAATTGTGTACATATGAACATATGACCTGACCGCTAATCAAATAACATGGACAGATCATGTTACATAATTCAAATTATTTATACAGACAGTATGACAGAATATTTCTCGGTTTACACAATTTTTTAAAAAGCTATCAATCGGCCTGTAAGTTGTACAACCGATACCATAACTGCATATATATATAGTAAATAAATAATATTAAATTAATATTAATAATAAATAAATATTGCACATAATTATAATTTATTTATTAAATATATTAAATAATTCACTCAGTTTATACAATTATCGATCAGCCAGTAAGTTATATGGCCAATACCAAAACTGTGGTTTTTAATATATATATATAGTTAATAAATAATATTAATTATTTATCAATATATTAAATAATTTTAGATATAACAGCTAAGTCATATATATAGCGAATAATAATTGCATTAATTACATGATAAATAAAATGAATAATCATGTATTTTACATTATTTTTAGGAAAAAACTGGTAATTAATTACCAGAATTACAAATAAGAAAAATAAGATAATAAAATCCATGTATTACATAACACATATGATCTTCGGGAATCGGATATTTTGGCAGGTTTCGGCCTATCTTAAGATTCGGCCTAATTTTGAAGTTTCAGTCAAAATTACAAATTTCAGCCAAAATTTTGGATTTCTGGAATTTTATTGGTTAAATCCTTTCACAATTTAAAAATAGGGTTTTAGTAAAAGACCCTTTATTTTGGTATATTAACACTGAAATGTAATTAAAATTCTTACATTAATAAATACATTTTTAATTTTTTCATATAATATAAAACTATGAGTTTTACTGTTAATCATTGGAGAGTTGAAGTATCAGATAATGATTCTGAATCTTATTTGAACTCAGAACATGAAAATTTTGATAGTTCATTATTTTCAAGTTATGCAGTTCGTCAACAAGCTAATGCAGATCATTCTCGAATTCCAATTCAACCATCTTTGTTTTCTGCAAACATCACCTTTAGAGCTTATTTTCCATCCTGGCAACCTTCTATAAAATTGTGTAACTTACAAGATCGGTTTAATACAACTATTATTCTTACTCAATATCCATGTGTTCCATGTAGTTATTGTTCTCGTTTACAGTATCCAACAAAGGCAAAGTGGGAACTATATGATAGAACATTTAAATATCCTTTAGAAGAAGCTTATTCAAATAATCCACAAATCACATTAGTTTTTCATACTGATGATTCTCAACCTGCACGTATAGCAACATGTTCTTCTTGTTATAATTCTAATAATCATCTTAAAATACCAATTCCTGATCCTATACCTGATGAAATTCAAAGTGTGCCTTTATATCATCGAATTTATCTCTCACCTATTCATCTTAGTTGTTCATTAGGCCGAGTTCCAAATAGCAATGCTTACACAAACTATCGTCACTTAACTGGAACCTTTAACTACTCAAAAAATATTAATGCACTTGCATTATATTCTGGTACCATTGGTGCTATACTAAATAATAATCAATCAAATTCATGGTATCATTCTTCACTTGATAATGCAGCAAGATGGTTACGAGATCATAATCCTTATTTTAAACCATATCAAACTTTAATTAATCGTGGAATATGGGATGGGGCACCAATTATCTTTCCAAATGCCTCACTTAGTAATACTTCTCAAAATCAAGACCATCCATTATTTAACATTAATTCACGTCCTTCTGCTGTAATACTACCTCCCTATGAACTTGATGCAGAAATTCATAATGAAGATTACCATTATAATCGATTAATGGCAGGATTTTTAACTGATCCATATAATAAAAAATTACCAATATCTTTTTATGATAAAAATATTGAACCACTTTTATTTCCTGACCTTTTTCCATATGGAAAAGGATTTTATATAAATGATGAAAATACAAATCGGCGATTTACAGATAGTTTAGGTAATTATGCAAAATCTTTACTACTTTGTCCTGATCCCAGATGGAGATTATCTTGGTATTGGCCTCATTATATTTATTTAACAATTTAAAAATTAAGAAATCACCAAAATAGAAATCGAATTTTAAATCAATATAATACTTCACTATCACATCAATTAACAACAGCAGATTTAATTACCAATAGTATTTATACTGGACGTCCAATAATTAATGAAAAAAATACAACAACTATACCTTCTTATATTAGAACTGGAGATTCTTATTTTCGCCAAAAAGAACATCATATTAATACTATGGTTCAAGGATTTGGTTTACCACAAATTTTTTATACTATGACTATGGCTGAAAATCATTGGTCACATTTAAAAAATATTTTATTAAAAACTGATAACAAAGATCCCCTTCCTTCTAATCGTCCATTTCATACCTACTTGCATTATCATCATCGTTTAGCATCAATGCATCAATATCTTTGGAAAAATCCAAATTTAACTGATTGGGGTAACTGGTTACATCATTTTGAACGTGATGAATTTCAAAATCGTGGAGCAATTCATACACATGGTATAGCTTATTTATCTAAATCAATTTCTGAATTAATTGATTCTAATGTAATTAGAGCAGATATGCCAGATCCCAATTCTGAACCAGAATTATATGAATTGGTTAAAAAACATCAAATTCATACTTGTTATTCACGTTGTGGAGGTTCAGCTCCATCTGGTTCACGTTGCAAAAAAGGTTTTCCTCAACCATATTCAGATACTACACATGAAGATCCTAATTCCTTAAGATATATTTATCTTCGTACTAAAGAAGAAGATTTATATGTTATTCCATATCATGCACCAACATTATTTTTATGGAATGGTCATATTAATTTTCAATATGTAACAACACATCAATTTGCAAAATATATGACTAAGTATGTTACAAAATCTGAACCATCAGAATATTTTGATATTTCTGAACCTGATGCATTTCGAAAACATATTTTAGCAAGACGTCTTGTATCAATGGAATTAATGATTCTTTTACTTGGATATTCAATATGTTGATCATCAATTGCTGTTGAATTTCTTCCTTCTATTCCTCCTGAAATAAGAACTAAATCTATAAAACCACTTTATTTATTACAACAAGAAGAACAATTATCTCCCTATTGGGATGATGCCATTGATAAATATTTTGATCGTCCATCTGATAATGAATTTGATAGTATGACATATCCTTTTTATCATTGCAATTATACTATACAAAAAAGTCAGCCAAAAAATGGAATATATTATATAGATAAAAAAAATTGCTTTGTAAGAAAAAGACAAAAAGAAATTCTTGTACTTTTTCAACATTTAACAATTCAGCAATCAGAATCATTTTATTATCAACAATTACTACTTAGATTACCTGTTAGAAGTGAAACTGATTTAAAAAGCTTATATCAAACTTATAAAGCTCATTTTGAAGCTAAATATCCTACTGAATATTCATTAACTTTAAATTTTGTACAAAATTCAATGCAATCTAATATTCAAAGATATACAAATAATTATCAAAATTTAGTTAATAATTTGATATCTTCATTGCATGTAAACTTACAAGAAATTATTGGAAATCAGTTAAATAATTTGTTACGTCAACCTATTCGCTCTTTAAATCTCTCATCTATGCTACTTTCTGAAGATCAATATAAAATAATGAATATACTTACAAATAGTTGGGGAGAAAGATTACATTCTAAACATCCTTATTTTTTTCTAACTGGTTCAGCAGGTACTGGTAAATCTTTTATGATACATCTAATTAAAAATTTTTTAGCTGATAAAAAAACTGAATATTTATTGATGGCTCCTACTGGTGTTGCTGCACAAAATGTAAATGGAAAAACTATACATTCAGCACTATATATTAGAAATACTCAAACCTATTTTGAAACATTATCTCATTATAATAATCAACAATTTGAAAAACTTAGCCAGATTAAAGCTATTATAATTGAAGAAGTATCAATGGTATCATCAATTCTTTTATCTTTTATTAGTTCATTATTTGCAAAAATTAACAAATCACCAGTACCTTTTGGTGGAATTCCAACTTTACTAATTGGAGATATTGCTCAACTTCCACCTGTAAGTGGTAAACAAGTTTTTTATGCTCCAGAATGGCAAGAATTTTTCCCACTTTTTCTTACAACTTCTCATCGCCAACAAGTTAGATCATTTTATAATATATTAGAAGAAATGCGAATAGGAAATATAAGTTCAGAAACAAGAAGATTAATTGATGAAAAAGTGCAATCATATCAAAGTAACAATGAAATGTCAACTGATACTACCTATATTTTTGGATTTCTTCATATTGCAGATTCAATTAATAATTTAATCTGTGGTTATCTTCCTATTTTTAAAGATATCTCCTCTGGATTTTTAATTTCTACAGCTATTGATTATGTTAATGAAAAAGAATGTATACCAAAAGAATATGATAAACAATTTAGACATTATACTAATTTACCATCTGAATTAATAATAAGAGAAGGAGCAAGAGTAATGTTTCTAACTAACAAATTATTTAATGAACAACTTTGTAATGGATCAATTGGTGTGGTAACTAAATTAATAAATGAAAATCAAGTAGAAGTGGCATTTCCAATAAATAATGGGATAAATCAAGTTATAGTAGAAAAAATTACAACTTATTTTAACTTACATGGAGCTTCAGCACAACGAACACAATTTCCACTTCAAAATGCATTTGCTCTAACTGTACACAAGACACAAGGCCTTACATTACCCCATGTAACTGTATCATTGGATGAACAAATGTTTGCTCATTGGCAATCTTATGTATCAATTAGTCGTGCCACATCTTGGGAAAATCTAGAAATCCAATCTTTTGATCCAAATGCAATAAAAGTAGATGATGCAATGTTGTCAGAATTAAATAGATTACAGGAGAATTTCAATACAATGTATTTATCATAATAGCATCCAATCTAATTTTTTTAAATCACTATACTTAACATTATCATCATATCTAATATTTTACTAAAATTAATACAAACTATTATATTTATATTTATCTTTATATTATTATCACTTAACATGTTACAGTATCAATTCATTTTGATCATTAAATATAATATTTCTTTAATAAAACTAATAAACTCAAAATAAACCATAAAATTTATTATTTGATAAAAATACAAAATACAAATCAACTTTTTAATATAAACCCTATTATATTACTTAAAATATATATAAATAATTACTGAATAATGCAATAATTATATTATAACTCACTAACAATACCAAATTACCCTAGTTTATGTTTTATAATAAAAAAGAATATCATATATTATATACACAATATATAAAAATAGTTACCAAAATTTTCGGTCAACATTGTCTTATCATATCGGCGGATTTGTTTCATCACCTAAATATGCTGAATTTTGGCATTATGCAAGCATAGCAAAGTTAAGGATGCATTGTACGATATCCATAAAGATGTGTGATTAAAAAAAAATCAATTTTGATACGATTTTAATTTTGGCCGGAATTAACATAATTTTGGCCAGATTTATGATATGTAGATCAGTGTAACATCATATGATAACGCTAAGCCACTCCAATAAAATGTTTTTTTTTACTTTCGCTTCTTTTTAATTTAATTTCTAATTTTAAAAGGTACACAAGTAGTATACGAGTCTCAAGTTAAAACTAAAAAATTGATTTTTAAATTATAAATTTAATCTATTACAGTATTTATAATACTTTAAATTTAAGTATAATAAGAAACATAAAACATTTTGAACACTCAACACTTGTGACAAAAAAATAGTGAAATATAAAGATAACCACCCAAACTCTTTTCAAAAATTCACTTTCAAAATATCTTTACAATAAGTCTTCTCAAATGAACCTATATAAGCAAAAGGGGAGAATTTAGAACAATATTATTTAAAAAACTTAGATCTAAATGGTAAAAAGAAAAAAAAAGAAAAGAAATAGAAAACTAGCCAAAAGAATAAAAAAAAACTCCAGCACTAAATATTCATACAACTCACAGACTGACATACCTTAAGTCGGATGGGTTGTAACTATGTCGGATGGGTTAAAACACGGTTTTTTTTAAAATATTTTTTTTTTTAACGTTGGCAAGTTCAAAAAAAAAATTTTTTCAATTGATCTACAACTCACCTGATGTGAAATCTTGTGTTTGCTGATCAGTTTAGTATTACGCAAAAGGACCAATGAGGCAATAAAGCAATTTTATCCCGTGAATCAAATCCGCCCATATGTTATTGTCGGTCACAATTATTGAACTTGATTTAAAATTTGATTTAATTTTGCAGAATAATCTATTTTTCTACTCGTATAACAAGTTGACAGATGATTATTCTGAGTAATAGGTTATATAGCTACTTTGAAAAGAATTTATGATGAAAAAAATTTGAGAAGTCATCTTCAAAAAATTCCAATTATTTGTTACATAATACATACTTTTTTTACTATAACAGTAATATACTATTCACCATTGAATTTTATTGTTTTTATTTCCAGAATTTGTATTGATAAAGTAAGTTTTAGAATTAATAATCTAAAAATTTGCAAAGTGAGAGTATTATTTTGGTTTTGCCTTTAACATTATTTTAATTTAAAGTATATTAAACATATCTGTTTATTTACTTCAATTATTATGAATATTAAATTTATAAATATTAGAGATAATTTTTTTATTTTTTATAAGTTGGTACATTTGCTCAATTACAAACTGATTTTATTTATGCAAAAAAAAAATTTATGTATACTCTATAATCAGTGTTGAACAAAATACTGTGTATTTAATATAAAATATAAAAATAATGAATAAAATGGTAAATTATTCCGATGATAACCTATTAATAATTTTAATTTAATAAATTCCTTTGTTAAATCTTCAAAATTTGAATAAAGGTACTATAACTTACTTTGTAAAATCAATAACTTCTACTGAATTATTGTTGATATTATCATACTTTGGGAGATCCTTTGTAAATGGATTAAGTAACCGAGAAGTATAACAAGCTTTTGGATGAGTAGTTAATTGGTTACTTCTAATACATGAAAATCTTAATTTTTTATTTTGTGCTTCTTCAATTTGCTTATTAATTTCTTCTTTAATTTCAGTAGCATTTGGTCTATTATTTGGATTCGTATCCCAACACTTTTTCATCAATTCAATGTAACATTGTGGTGCTTCATGCTCATTAATTTCAGGTCTAATTCCATTGCATATCTTTAATGCTAAAATATTATCATGAGCACAATTAGCAAAGGGTTGTCTTCTAGTTGCTATAAAATACATAATCATACCAAAACTATATATATCTGCTGCTTGAGTATAAGGATTTCCTTTTAATACTTCAGGAGCTACATAAGACATAACTCCATAAACTTTTGTTTCATCTGTATTACTTATATTACTGACTTCTCTACATAATCCCATATCTGAAATGCATATTTTATTAATAGATTTAGAATGAGCAAAATATTCAATATTAGGCAATATTAATATATTTCCTGTATGTAAATCATGATGAACCATTTGATTGTCATGAATAATTTTAAGACAATCAATAATATTATTCAATATATATAATTTTTCAGACCAATACCAAGATTGTTTAATATATTTATAATTAACAAAATTTCCATCTGCAAGTTGAAGAACTATAATATAATCTTTTGTATATGGATCTTGAGATATTCCATATATTTTAAGAATTCCATTATCACAAATAGAGTAATTTTTAACCTAATAAATTTTTTAAAAAAAATTGTTATATTAAAAGATATTGATTAGCTTCATTAATTTAAAGAAATTATACCTCATTTAATAATCCATTTGAAATATCTTGTGAATTGTTTAAACATTTTAAAGCAACTTTAATATCACGTGTCCTTTCCAACTCTTCATAATTTGTATTACATTGTAATAGCCCATTTTTCCATAATGCTGAATATACTGTAGAAAAACCACCTTTACCTATTTTTTTGATATTACTAAACTGGTAGTATGGTATCCATTCAACTATTATATCACCACAATTTTTAATTTTTAATTGCATTTCTTGAATTAGTTCATCAATTTTTTCATTTCCACTAGTCCAGTTTGCAAAATTATTTTTTAAATAATTAATCTGGCATGATTTGCACCACTCATATCTTATATCAGTATATTGATTGCTACATTTTTTACAATAACAATCTTCAAGAATTATAATATAATCTTTTGTATTTGGATTTTGAGATATTCCATATATATTAGGCATAATGTTAATACTATCATATGATGTACCTTTAGTTGAATATACTATAAAGTTCATCACATTATGATTATCAGTAAATGTTAATTTATTATCTAGTTTTAGTTTAATAGAATATGATTTAACCTGTTAAAATGCACAAAATCATTAAAATAAAGTAATTAAATTAAATGACAAAAGATAAAATTTATACCTTATTTAAAAATTCATTGGAAATATTTTGTGAATTATAAAAGCATTTTAAAGCAACCTTTTTATTAGGTATTCTCTTCCATTCTTCTTGATTATATTTTAATGGTCCATCCATCCATATTGCTGAATATATTATATTACAATTATTTTTATCAATTTCTTTAATATCATTAAACTGATTATATGGTATCCATTCAACTATTATGTCATCATAATTTCTAATTTTTAGTCGCATTTCTTGAATTAATTCAATAATTTTTTCATTACTGCTAGTCCAATTTATAAAATTAGTTTTTAGATTATTTATTTGACATAATTTACACCATTTATAGCTCAAATCAGTATATATTTCATTACATATTTCACAATGCTTTCCATTTTCAAGAACTATAATATATTTTTTTGTATCTGGATTTTGGGATATTCCATATATTTTAATAATATTATCATATTCAACAAAATAGGATTTAATCTATTAATTATTAAATATAAGAAAGGTTATAAAAATAAATTATATTGCAAAGAAATTAGAAAATTTCATACCTTATTTAAAAATTCATTTGTAATATTATTTTGTGAATTAACTAAATATTTTAAAGTAACCTCTTTATTAGATATCTTTTTCTGTTCTATCTTATTATAATTATATTTTAATGAACCATCTGTCCATATTGCTGAATATAATGGAGCAGAATCATTTTTGCCTACTTTTTTGATTTCATTAAGCTGATTATATGGTATCCATTCAACTATTATATCATTACAATTTTTAATTTTCAATTGCATTTCTTGAATTAATTCATCAATTTGATTATTTCCACTGGTCCAATTCACAAAATTCTTCTTTAAATTATTTATCTGGCATGTTTTGCACCATTTATTATTAGTATATATATTAATACATTCTTCACAAATAATCCCATCTTGAATAACTAAGATATAATTTTTTGTATCAGGATTTTGAGATATTCCATATATTTTAGGAAAATTATCTATACTTTCAATAGAATAAAATTCAGTTTCCTAGATATATTAAAAATTATTATATTAAAAAATAATATTAATAAAAAAATTACAATGAAATTAAAATTTTGTACCTTATTTAAAATTTTATTGGTAATATTTTGTGAATTATATAAACATTTTAAAGCAACTTCTCTATTAGGTATCCTTTCCCATTCATTTTGCATATACTTTAATGGGCCATTTATCCATATTGCTGAATATAGTAAGGTGAGATCGCTTTTACCTATTTTTTTAATATTATTAAACTGGTTATATGGTATCCATTCAAATATTGTATCATCATGTCTTTCAAATTCTAATTGCATTCCTTGAATAAATTTATCAATTATTTTATTTCTACTAGTCCAATTTGCAAAATTTGTTTTTAAATTATTTATTTGACATGATTCACACCAATTTAAGTATATTAATGTGTATATTTCTCCACACTTTTCACAATGATTTCCATATTCAAGAACTAAAAGATAATTTTTTGTATTTGGGTTTTGTGATATTCCATATATTTTAGGAGGATTACAAGTAAAATCGTCCTCATCTATTACAATATCATATGGTTTAATTTGCTAAAATATAAAAGATTTTTATTATACACATGTAATAAGGAATCATAAATATTATAAATGAATTTGAAATTTTATACCTCATTTAAAAACTCTTCAGTAATATCTTGTGAATTATGTAAATATTTTAAAGCAACTTTAATATTAGGTATTCTTTTCCATTTATAATAATCATGTTGCAATGGACCATTCATCCAATTTGCTAAATATAATGTAAAAAAATCACCTTGAACTATTTCTTTAATATTATTAAATTGATTATATGGTATCCATTCAACTACTGTATTATTATACTTTTCAATTCTTAATTGCATACATTGAATAACTTCATCAATTATTTCATTTCCACTAGTCCAATTTACAAAATTTTGTTTTAAATTATTTATTTGACATGAATTGCACCATTTATAATTTAAATCTTTATACATTTTACCACAGTTTTCACAATGCCAATCTTGAAGTACTATAATATAATCTTTTGAATCTGGGTTTTGAGATATTCCATATACTTTGACGATATTGTTAAAACGATTTAATCCATAATTTTTTGAAAAAAGTTTAGATGCTTCAATGACACAATCCCTTATACGTTTTTCAGTAATATATGTTTTAATCTGTAAAATATAAGAAAAATCATTAACACTAAGTATTTATATTGAATTATAAAGAAACCAGAAATTCATACTTCATTTAAAAATTCATCAGTAGTATACTGTAAATTATCTAAGCAAATTAAAGTAACTTTTTCATTAGGCTTTCTTTCCCATTCCATTTTATCATAATTATAACATAATGGACCATTTACAAATATTGCTGAATTACTTTCATGTAATGCTTTGATATTATTAAACTGGTTTAATGGTATCCATTCAATTATTGTGTCATTTAACCTATTAATTTCTAGTTGCATTTGTTGTATGAATTCGTCAATTTTTTCATTTTCACTAGTCCAGTTTGTAAAATTTTGTTTTAAATCATTAATTAAACATTGCTTGCACCATTTATATTTTATATTTTTATATATATTATTACAGATTCCACAATAAACATTTTGAAGTACTATAATATAATCATTTGTAGCTGGGCTTTGAGATATTCCATATATTTTAATAATTTTATCATATTCAGCAAAATATGATTTAATCTGTTATGATATAAAAGTTATTTTAATAAAAGCACTTAATTACAAAAAAAATTAAAATTTTATACCTCATTTAGAAATTCATTATTAATATCATTATTTTGTGAATTACTCAAATATTTTAAAGCAACTTCCTTATTAGGTATTCTTTTCTGTTCCATTTTATCATAATTATATTCTAATAAACCATCTTTCCAAATTGCTGAATATAATGGAGCAGAATCATCTTTGCCTATTTTTTTGATATCAACAAACTGTTTAAAAGGTATCCATTCAATTATAACATCATTATGCTTATTAATTTTTAATTGCATTTCTTGAATTAATTCATCAATTTTTTCATTTCCACTAGTCCAATTTGCAAAATTTTGTTTTAAATTATTTATTTGACATGGGTTACACCATTTATACCTTCTATATGTATATACTTTACCACAGTACTTTGCTGAAACCTCAGATTTAGCGACTATAACACTTCTGGCATGTGACTATCATGTGACTATAGAGTCAATCGCTAGTGGCATTTTTTTCATTTCGACTGTCCAGTTTCTACCTCACTACTTTATATTTTCTACATGGAAGTAATATGAAACTTTAATTATTTTTTAATTTTGATAAATACGTTTTTATTTTTGAAAATACAATTATTTTTTTTTAGAAAAATTATGGAATTATATAGATTCTAGCTTTTCACTTCATATCTTCTATATAGCGACGATAAATCATTTATTAATTTTAATGAATAATTCGAAAATAAAATAAAATGTATTAGTATTATTAAAATGTACTTATAGTATTAGTACGAATCAGTCGAATCATTGTAAAATTTAGACATTATGAAATGCATTATAATAAATATATAATAAAAATTCCATAAATTTAAATAATAAATTTAAATATAAGATATATCGATATAATAAAAATTCTATAAATTTAAATAATAAACTGAATATAAATAAATTGTGTAATTAAACATAAGACATATCGATATAATAAAAATTTTATAATAAATAAATTGTGTAATTAAACATAAGATATATCGATACATATAGTTGGGGCTTCATAAACCTCGTAGCCGCGCTTATTTAAGGCAATGTATTACTAGACCTATGCTAAAGATGACTTTAGCAAGGCTTTCTTTGTGAATTAAAAGAAATTTCATACACTTTGCCAGCTGGTGAGCAAGCCTATGAAGTAACCCACATTCTTATAAGATTCACTAATAAAATAATTTAAAAACTTTTGTAAATTTTCTATTGTTTTTCACTATGATCTAATTAGAATATACATTAACTGAAATTAATGTTTGAAATTTACAAAAATAAAATAATAATAAATTTCAAAAATTAATTACCAGCTTTGACTTCATGTTCTTGAATCGGAATATCACGTTCAACTCTTGTTTTTAATTGCCCTGGTCACGATCACCTGGTTAAAGTAACACAATTTT